TTCCTTACATTCAGTGTGGACATGACTCTTGCTGAAATTAGGGATGAAATTCTTGTTGCTTTCAGTGCTGCCAAACAGTCCAGTTCTGAGCTCCACGTTCTTTCAGTTGTTTCCAGCTGATTTTGTGGGAATTCTGGAGGACTGGCCTTTCAGTCCTGGGCATATCTGTATGCCGTGGTATAATTCTCAGCATTATATTTTCTTTTTCCTTCTGCCTTTCCTCCCCCCTGCCCGCCACCATTCATCCTTTTTTCATCCATTTTATGTCCATCCATTTTCCTAGTCTGATAACAGTTTGGGGTTGAGTTTGGTTTTGTTTTTAAAAGGATTCCCTTTTCTTTCCCCTCCTGTACCACTGGTCCCCCAGAACTCCATGTTAACTGAGGTGCGTGTCTGCCTGGTGGTTCCCTGCACTAAGGCTCCCTGTAGTCTCAGGACTGAATGCTACAGGTGCAGCAACAGGGCACGTGGACTTTCCATATAGTTTCTTTATTTCTTATTCTGAAGGTGGGTGCAATCGTTGCCTTAAAGAATTTTACAGTTTAAAGAACTGCTGTCTTCCTGAGAGCAAGATATAGAATAACAACGTGCTGATAAATATGGCACATGGACTTAATCTACTGTGGATTTATTAAAGTACAGATGGTGTACTTTCTTAGTTCCTAGAATTACCATAGGAAGTATGTGGTCCTCAAGCTGTTCGTATATGATGTAAAAAAAAAAAACAACACACTTTTTTTTTCAGATTTTGACCAGTGAGTCTGGCTTTGGGAACATCTAAACTCTAAAGGAAACGTAGCAGAAATTTCCTTGTTTCATCCGTTTCTGAGTTCAGGCCATCAGAATATAACATGGTCTCCACTACAAGTTCTCTTCTAGCTTAAAAGTTTGCAAAATTAGTTCAAGGTAGCCATATATCTGCATTGTTAGACACGTTAACTGATTTCGCTGCACAAGTTTTAGTGCAGTTCTAAGAACTGAACAAAGACTGTCACCCCCTAGGTCAGGTAAATTCATTTAGTGATAGATGCTGCCTAGCATAATTGTTCTAAGTGATCGGAAATCTAATCCGAGCCTGATGTCTGCACAATTCTGCAATGAATAATGCAGTCCAAGTTTGGATTGCCCCTTGCACACCCCTTTTGTCTGAATGCAAAAATCTTTCGCTCATGTGAAGCAGAGGCCACTCTGACGGTGAAACAGAGATTCAGAAATTTAACGTTTACTGGAATGAGTCATTGTTTTGCATGTCTGGCAAATAAATATGTCTTCTTTGCACCACATAAAGAGCATTGACTAACTTTTGTGTAGAAAAAGCCACAGAAGAAGCATTTTGGTGATCTATCGTGTGCCTGCATTATATGGGTAAAGAATTTTAATTAAAATTTGTGTCTAGTTTTCCCCCACAGTTTTGCCATTTTCATCAATTTTCACATGTGTCATGGAAAGGGAAAGAAAGAATCCTTACTCCTTTGTTCTCCCCTTGATGTCTGTAAAAGTGATTGTCAGGATTTAATGGCAAAACAGAACACGGATTTATTTTGCTCGTTCCTTTTTATCCGACTTTTTCAGTTTTGAATTTTTCAAGCCTTGAAAATGTGTGCATAAAAAGCAATTGTGTATTAAAAAACGAGGCGACTTGCTTCAGCAGATCTTAGTCCTATGGATTTAAAAAGAGTAAGAGTCTGTTGAGTAGAGCTTGTAACTGGTCGAGAGAATATTTATGCACTGCCCCACTGATCTCAGGACATAAATTAACAGGAAGCTGTAAGGACCTTTTAATGATTCTCTGCACAGAGTTGAAAGAATGGTGGTTCTCTGCCCCTCTACTCTGTGCTCGTGAGACCCCACCTGGAGCTCTGTGTCCAGCTCTGGAGTCCTCAGCACAGGAAGGACGTGGACCTGTTGGAACGGGTCCAGCGGAGGGCCACGAAGATGATCAGAGGGATGGAGCACCTCCCCTGTGAGGACAGGCTGAGAGAGCTGGGGCTGTTCAGCCTGGAGAAGAGAAGGCTCTGGGGAGACCTTAGAGCAGCCTTCCAGTAGCTGAAGGGGCTACAGGAGAGATGGGGAGGGACTTCGTCAGGGAGAGTAGTGACAGGATGAGGGGTAATGGTTTTAAATTGGAAGAGGGGAGATTTAGATTAGATATTGGGAAGAAATTCTTTGCTGTGAGGGTGGTGAGACACTGGAAGAGGTTGCCCAGAGAAGCTGTGGCTGCCCCATCCCTGGAGGGGTTCAAGGCCAGGCTGGATGGGGTTTGGAGCAACCTGGTCTGGTGGGAGGTGTCCCTGCCCAGGGCAGGGGGTTGGAACTCCATGATCTTTAAGGTCCCTTCCAACCCAAACCATTCTGTGATTCTCTGGCCATAAAAAGGCACCTCGCAGCGAGCTGGTCTGTCCTCAACCTGATCTTCCTGGCAGCCTTCCTGTGTTAAAGAAGGTCTCGTCTGGCCAGCTGTGGCTCAGAAGGGCTGGAGCCACTTCCCAAATAAGCATCCAGCATCTTGATTTTTAGTTGTAATGAAAGACTTATTAGCAGCTGTAACATGCGTGCGCTTGGCTTATGATGCCAGGAGTTGTTTTTCGAGGTGCCATTTATGCAGTGAAGCTTTGCATGTGGCCATTTCTCTTACTTTGAGCTGAACTGTTTGAGTTTACTGAATTCGGGAAGCAAGAAAGGGGAGACATGATTTGGTGCTAACTAAATCTTTTGGGGAACTGATGTTGGTTTCTTTTGTGAAAAGGCCCACCTGGCTCTTCGGTGTAGACCTGGTTCAGACCAAGGTGCAATAAAGCTGTGTGTGTAAATGGTGCAGGCAGGATATTTGCTGGTACTTAGTGTGTAAGATGTGCTGAGTTGTTCGCTCTCAACTGTGTGCTCTGAGAGCCTTCTTCCCCCTTGTTGGTGTGGCACCCCTTGAAAAAGAATTAGATAAGGAGCTGTATGCAGGATCAGCCAAGGAGCTCTCAGTAGGCAGTGCCAGCTGCTACCATCTATTAAAGTCACTGCAGAACTGAAAGGGCAGAGGGATATGTTGTGTTGTCTTAGTGTTGCCCTCAAGAAGGAGCAGGCAGACTGCAGGCTTCCTTAGGGGCATGGAGTGTATACTGGGAAGAAGTTCTTGGTGGTGGAAAGAGAGCTGATGTCTCTCCTCTGCAGCCTCTGTCCTGGGTGAGTTGCTCCTATGGAGTGAGTGATTCACTAGAAAATTCATGGGCAATGGAAAGAGAAGGAGAAGGGCTTTGTTCCTCTTCCTCCCTGGGGTAGCTATGAACACGCCAGGCAGTTTGGTAGCAAAATAAACAAGCATTTATTCTGCTCACTCTTCTTCAGTTACTCTTCTTGTCATTTGAATTGTTTAAGAATTTAGTTTTTTAAGAAGAGAAGGCTCAGGGAGGACCTTATCAAGACCCAGATGGAAGGCACAAAGAGGGTGGAGCCAGGTTCTTCTCAGTGGTGCCCAGTGACAGGACCAGAGGGAATGGGCACCAACTGAAGCACAAGAGGTTCCCTCTGAACATCAGGAAACACTTTTTCGCTGTGAGGGTGACTGAGCACTGGCACAGATTGCCCAGGGAGGTTGTGGAGGCTCCATCCTTGGAGATATTCAAAAGCTATCTGGATGCTGTCCTGGGCAGCTGGCTGTAGGTGGCCCTGCTAAAAAGCTGTCTGGATGCTGTCTTGGGCAGCTGGCTGTAGGTGGCCCTGCTTTAGTGGGAGGTTGGACCAGATGATTTCCAGAGGGGCCTTCCAGCCTCAGCCACTCTGACTCTGTGACTTGAAATGGCATCTTTCCGAAGTAAAAGAGGTTCAAAATCAGCTTGTCCGAAATCTTGTTGATACGTGGCTTCTGTGTTTTCATAAGTAAAGGCAGTGGAGTTTTGGTCCTTGTTAGTAAAAGGAATGATGGTTCAGAAGCAGAGTGCATTGTGCACAAAGCAGGAAGACCCTTTCTCTTTGCATATACAGAGGTGGCTCAGTTGTTCTGTGTTTCTAAGAACAGCACAGGTTCCAGTCAGTGCTGCAGCTCACACCCAGCAGTGAATGACACAGCATCTGGATCTTCTGTATTTCTAGTTCTGGGTAGGACAAACACATTGTGGTGTCCCGGTGCTCTGTAAGTAGTGAATCAGTGGAAGGAACCCAAAAGGAACAGGGAAGGGAGAGAGGGGAAAATGGTGAGGAGCAAGGAAAATAAAAATGCTGGAGGAAGAAAACTCCCTGGTAAATGGCAATACGTACAGCAGAAGGTAGATGACAGAGGAGGGTGATTGTATGAGATTGAACTGAGAGACGGGGTGAACTGATGTGAACGGAATAAGACCTTGGTATTGCAGTCATTTACTAATTCACAGCTCAGTCTTCTACTGGGACTGCCAGACCAGAGGACCACACAGGAGTTTGGTGAAAATAAGACAACAGGAATTAAAGATCGCTGTCTGGCACTTACCTTGGCTCCTTTTACAAGTATTTATTCTTACTGTGTAAATAAAGAATAAACAAGGAAGGAAGTATTAAGCTTGAGTCAATAACTTAAGGTCCACGTAGAAAGATCCACTTCCCCTGTGGTGTTCCCTGTACGTATTATATTGGCACTGAATATTGCATTTCATCAACAACTTTAGGAAATCACACTTGCTAAATACTTTACTGGTGAATATTTTAAATATCTTCAAAATGTAATGCTCAAGAGTCTTGCCATTTCATTTCTTTCTTTAATTACATTTTTTGATTACAGTGTAAAGTAGAAAATATAACTTAAACTATGAAACAGGGTTACTTTAAAGAATCAAATATTTTATAGTCAGTAACAGCGAACTCCCCTTTTATATGAGAGCTTGACAATAGAAGTCAATAAGATTTCTTTGGTAATTTTTTCAGCTAAATCAATGGTTATTAATCTTATTGTCATAGCAAAGTAAACTTGACAGCATTGTCAGAATATGTTCTCTCTTTTAAAGTTTGTTGCTTTTTCTTCCCACCCTTTTTCCCACCAGAACAACTGTTAATAAAAATGGAATCTACCAGTTTGAACAGGCTTCAAAATGTAAGGCAATTCAGGACAACATTTTGTCATCATCTATCAAGAAGAAAAGGTAGGTATTTGCTGTGCTTTCTGCTTTGTTTGTTTTAAATAGAAAGGTAGAAGATTGTCCTCTTTTGCATAATTCTCAATGATATGAATGTGGAGCTACACAACAGGAAACTGAAATTGTTCAACCAATGTTTGCCTGCATTTTTTCTTTCACATGAATTAGATTTATTCAAGGTTGGATTTTATTTTTTTTATTTTCACAATGTAAGTCAACAAGATTTCTCCTTGCCAGTTAGCAGCATTTTATTCCAAGATATTCACAAGAAGGCTGAACAGAATCTATAAGGTATGATTTCATTCTTGAGTGTCTTTTTCCTGATTGGTGAACATTCCTGCTATGAGCAACCTCCATTAATGGATTCTTTTCAGCGTATTCACTAGAGTGAGTATGGAAATGTAGTAGTATAAAAATGTGGTAATTAATTGCAGTCTTTATAATAACTAGTCCACAGGATACTAATAATTCAATTTTAGATACGTTGAAAAACCACCTCAATTTTGGGTTTCAACTTGCAGTTCTGCCTTTTCCTGACATGAAAAACCCCCCTTTGATATCAGCCCTCCTCAAACTCCTTCCCACTTTCTGAAGTGTTAATGGGAGAAGCAGCCCATTCTTTTTGACATGTAATATTTTGCCTATATGGATGCACCAATAAATAAAACATCGTAAATAAGAAAGACTTCCCATTGGGATCAAGCTCCAGCTTAAAATTAATTACATGCCATAGTGTCTTTAAAATTGGAAGCTTTTTATTTTTTCCCCTCCATTTGTGAAAAGAGAAAAGGAATGAGAAAAAAAAAGTTCTGCTAAAAGTAGTTATGTACCTTTCCTCATTCAAAGAACTGGAGGAGTCAATTTTTTCCTTAACGCAGAAACAGCATTAAATCATGATTTTAAAACACCTCCTGTCTTTTCTGCCCCTTCCTCACTTTTTCATTGCATTTTAAGATCTTTCACCTGTTCTTAAGTCACCATATTCCCAGAATTCTGGGGTTTTTTAAAATGATTTTCTTTTTTTCTCCTCTATAACCTGTTCTCCCACCGATATTCCACCTCATCAGCAACACTATCATTGAAGTTTTTCCTCTTTTGAAAGGTGGTAAACCACGATGTTACTTTACTGACGCATTGCTAGTGAGAGCTGAAACAGAGACTGGCAAACAGGTCAAAATATACAGTTGGTTGAAAAGCTGAGCGATTAACAGCAAGACAAGGACAACCAGTCGCTGTATTTCCTCCAAAATCCACTTAGAGCAATAGAAATGCTGTTATTTATCCTGCGTGTTACAAAGTTGTACAGGCTGCAGCAATGCAGATGTGCTCTTCATACCCAGAACGTTTGGGAGCTGAGATTGTAGGAAAAAAACTTCACAAAGTTTCAGACCTTTATTCTGTGGCTAAAGAGAAAGGAGGAGCTGCACCACTTAACGAGGCAGAAGATGAATTGGGCAGGTAGGAAGAGAAACTGATGCTTGGAAGAAAGGAGCAAGGGATTGTTTTGTGCCATGAATATTGCAGCTTGTTACCCTTCCCTGAGAGGAGCTGGAGGGCTCTTTGCTGCTTTTCCAAGGTGTGACCCACAGGCATGGTACATAAACGCTTTATAGTGCAGTTCTAGACTTTCAGGGACATTCTGGACACTCTTCCCTCTTAAGCTGGCAGACAGGGAAAAAATTACTCGTTTAAAGCTTGTCAAATTATTTGATAGTAAAAAATGCTATGTAAGTGGGAAGTTATTATTATAGCAGGTATGTGCTGGTGGTGATAAAGAGCCTGAAATGCTGAGTTTTGCTGGCAGTTTTCCATTTTTATTCTAGGGCAAGCCCTGTGCACGCTCTTTTGAGGGCCTTAAAAACTGATAGTTGTTTTGATAGTATTAAAGTGTTCAAAGGCAAAAGGGATCCTCCTTTTCTTTTGCATTTCCTGCTGTTGCTTTTCTTTTAATTTGTTTCTCTCTGAAACATAAGCTGCCAAATAATAATATCTCCTTTTTTCACTCCTGCTGTTCAGTTTTCCTTCTAATTTAAATAGCTTTTTTTGAGCTAGGCATTTAGCTTTAGCAAGTAACCAGGTGGGGCTGCACCTCTCTCTGTTCTGACATTTTGCCTGTTGTCTCCCTACCATCTCAACACTCCTGTCCTTGCTGTTGTCCTTCAGATATCTGCCAGAAATTAGAAGATACTTATACTTTGTCAGTGCTTCAGCTGTGCATAATAATTCCTCCTTAGCCACTGCAGTTAATGTAGAAGGTCACTGCATACCTGACAAGTACTATAGGCAAAAAAACCCCTCCCAGGTGTTATTTGTCAGCAAGGCAAATACAGTATAAGTGAGTTTCCAACAACACCAAGTTATTATAACACTTGTGGTGCGGGTGACAGACAAAACCAGGACAAAGTGTGTTTCATTCACTATTCTCAGCACTGTAATTATTGTCTTGTCCACATATTTTTATAGTTCAATTTACAAAAGCTTTTTTATCTTAATAATAAAACCCTTTTAGCTTCAGTGAATACGTGCTGTAAGCTCCTGGGTGCCAGTGGAAATACATGTATTGTCCCAGCTCTTGAAAACAGACTGAGTTACAGCAGAGCCATTAGATGATACCCTGATGGCCTTCTGGATGATTCCTTTGGAGAAGTGAGTCCCCAAGGCTCCTTTAAAGCAGGAAATGCTAAAATAGGCTTCCTGAAAGGAAAACAAAGCTTTCTGGGCTGTAAACCCAGATGCGGCAAATCCCAGAGCTTCACTTTGAGTCTAAAAAAATTAATCTATAGGAATATTGTCTGTATTCAAATAGACTTCACAGAATCACAGAATCACAGAATCTTAGTGGTTGGAAGGGACCTCTGAGATCATCGAGTCCAACCACAAAAAAAAAACAAAAAAACAAAAAAACCAAACAAAAAAACCACACAACCAAACAAATACAAAACACACCACACCAAACGCCCACCAAAAACACTGCACCCACCAACTAAACCCCACACTCAACACCTTACCATAAACCAATAACCTTGGGCACTAGAGCAGGCCCTGAAGAGCCATGTCTATACGTTTCTTAAATCCCTCCAGGGATGGTGACTCCACCACCTCCCTGGGCAGGCTGTTCCAGGGCCTGACCACTCTCTCAGTAAAGTAGTTCTTTCTAATATCTAATCTAAATCTCCCTTGCCGCAACTTCAGACCATTTCCTCTGGTCTTGTCGTTCGTCCTTTGGGAGAAGAGGCCAACACTTGCCTCTCTACACCCTCCTTTCAGGTAGTTGTAGAGGGCAAGGAGGTCTCCCCTCAGCCTCCTCTTCTCCAAACTAAACATGCCCAGTTCCCTCAGCCTCTCCTCATAGGACTTGTTCTCCAGGCCCCTCACCAGCTTGGTGGCTCTCCTCCAGCACTTCAATGTCTTTCCTGTAGTGAGGGGCCCAAAACTGAACCCAGCCCTGGAGGTGAGGCCTCACCAGTGCCGAGTACAGAGGCACGATGACTTCCCTACTCCTGCTGGCCACGCTATTCTTGATACGAGCCAGGATGCCATTGGCCTTCTTGGCCACCTGGGCACACTGCTGGCTTATGTTAAGCCTGCTGTCTACCAACACCCCCAGGTCCTTTTCTTCCAGGCAGCTTTCCAGCCACATTTCATGGAAGCCTTATATTGGTGTGAGCAGCTGCAGTGGCCACTTTGCAGGGCTGTCCCTGGCATGAGCTCCTGCTCCCCGGGACATGCCACTGGGTTGTCTCTGCCTCTTGCAGTGCTGTGCCAGGATGAGTTCTGACGGTCCGTGGCATCTTTATAAGTCACAAGAGGAGCAAAACTGGATGCACAGGCGAGCAGAGGTGGTGTTCTGTCTGGTAAAGACCTGTAAAATGGTGCTTTTCTGCATGAGCTGGTGGTGAGTTTGGACACCTCTGAGCAAGATTGATTCCATCCAGCAGCCAGCAGTGGAGAGGTGGCCATGTTCTTGCATTGTAATTGTTTTTTTTACCCTCGGTGCAGCTTCTGTTACATGGATAAGAAGGTCCTTACACTTTCTGACAGTGAGTGCCTGTGTTTCTCGTGAGGCATTAGAACTAGCATTATGGACAATGCTTTGATTTTTCTCCTTACCAAATGTTTCCCTGTGACTTGCTAATAACTTGTCAGTCCCTGCAATTTCTTTCCGAGCTGATGGTAATTTTTCTTTTCATTTCTGACTCTGATCTTCTTCTTATCAGTGTCTTTAGGCTAGAATTTGCTTTTTCTCTATTTTTTTCTCCTAGATAGTGATAGCCTAAGTAACTCTTCATGCTCTGTTATCCTATTAATTCTTGGAATTTTTCCATAAGTCCCAGCATCTAAGAGTTATTTACTGTTTAGCCTTAAGGAATACAACTAGATGAGTGATTCAACATCAGCACAGGCTATTTCGGTCCTGTGCTTCTGTCCCATCCTCCCCTCACATGCACTCCCAGTGCTGCCTTGTGCTGCTATTGACACTTGTCTGACCCCACAGTGAGCCAATTTGCGTAGCAGCTTCAGCAAGAAAGTAGTTCCATTTTCTCTAACTGTAGTTCCAAGGCTGCCAACACAACATACCAGGAGGCAGTTGCCAAAATAAGGCGGCCTTCACAGTTTCTCCACTCCAGTCACTCCTTGCTCATACTGGCTGTGGTGTTCAATGGAATCTTTCCTGGAGAAAACGTGTATGCATATTTTTTTCTTCCTTTTTTTTTTTTTTTTTTTTGGTCACAGTAGTGAATTAAAGTGGTTTGTGAAGGCATTTGACAAGTACAAAAGCTGGCAAAAACAAAAGAGAGGTGGACTCAAGTAAGTATCAGCAGAGACATGAGAGAGAGAACAGATTTGGAGTTGGACTGAGAGGAGGAGGAATGTTCTGCACCAGGTCAGATCAGCTACAGCTGCAATAAAACTAGTTTTGTGCTTCTCCCACTTCTGCCCATCCATTCCTGCTCCCTTGAGTTGTGCAAGGGCTCAGGAAAATCAATTTGGTCAGAGTCCTCTAGTTCCTTTAAGAGTTTGCTAAGTCTGCAGAATGAAAATCGTACGTGTTGTCACAGGTGCAAACTTGAGCCAAAAACCCATTCTAATGCAGAATTCCTCTAAAAAGTTTCATTTCTTTTTCCATGTGGAAATGGGACATGATTTTATTCAGGAGCAGATAAGCAAGTTAACTTTAGCAGTTGCAGTAGTTTTATGAAGCAAACAAAAAAGGCTTCTGTTTTTTCAAATGTTTACCGTAAGGCCATGGCACAAAAAGCATGCTGAACACAGAGAGAAGGAAGCTCTCAGGTTGTTGACTTCCGCTGCTGCAAGTCACCACCACAGCCTTTTTTATATTCCTTTTTATCAATTCTCTTGCTCCATTTAAAAACAAATGAGGTTTCTTGCCATCCCAACTCTTGTACAACTGTTCAAAATACACACTTCTAAATTCCAGCTTAGATAAGCTCATGATCATTTGATTTTGGGCCAATGCTAACCTTTTTTTTGCTAAAATAATGCAAGGTAGTTCTTTTCTGGAGACATGAGTCCCATGGAATATATAGTCATGGGACCCATATCATCTTTTCTTCCCATTCCCCCAGTCCTCCTTATAAGTCAGAGTTACTGTTTTAAAAAAAAAACCTGTATTAGGATCCAAGCAGAAATGGAAGAAGTATTAACATCAAACCTGTAAGGGAAGAAGTGTCTTTATTCTTTTGACTCACATGTTCTGAAGTATTTTACGTATGGACAAGCCAAATGTCTTGAAAGGGTTTAAAAGGAGCAGAAAGCTCTTTGATTACACGTACCAATGTAACCAAAGTGCTGGGTGATGTAAAACAAGGGATTGTTTTATTTAACAGATAATTTGAAGGAAAACTTACATCTGTAAATATTGGTCTATGGTCTTAAATGATTGAATTGAGCTTTGGGGACTCTACAAGGTAAACGAAAGAAAATAAGTGTAATGTTTCATTCTGGCTTGTAAGAGCCACATTTCAAAACATTTTTGAAGTTTAAAACACCAAACATGAGAGATTTTTGGTATTATTTTGGCCTTCTGCACTTGAGATGATTTCTAATAACTTCAAGATATTTAAGGTCAAATATTTAAGTTTGAAACTAGTGTACTTTCAAAAGTTTATGAGAAGAAAAGTTCATTAAGATATCACTATTAAGAAGCAATGTTTAATAGGTCGTGCTAATTAAATGAGGATAGTGCTGTTACAAATTACAAAAATAAAATAGGTCATGAAGTTCTAAAAGCAATCTATTATATATGCATCATGCACATTATTATTAATAAATGCATCATTTGAATGTTTTAGAGACTGTTTCTAAATATACATACATATATATTCTAGTGTTTGATGTTCTCTCCTTATTTAGATACTCAGAAGATTATTATCTTCACATAGTCACAAAACTGCAGAACTGCACCTGGATAAGGAGACCAGAAGAATCTACAAAATTCAGGTAATTTTCATTGTCTCAGTTAGAAAAACTGTTTACCCTAGATTCATCTAAGAAGCCAGAAAATGAAATCTACCCCTTGGAAAAGAAAATTTTGTATTGCTTTTAGACTGCTTTCACAGCTATACATTTCTATTAATCTTTTGATGCTAGGGCTTTGTGTTTATTTGTACTGAACTGTGCAAATTGAGTAGGATAAAAGAACTACACCAACGAAGTAATTTTATCTGTCCCCACTATAAGGAATAGATAACTAACTTATTTAGAATAGATTAAAATATTCCTGACACAAAACCTACAGTACTAAAAAAAAAAAATAAAAAAATCAGTAATGTGATTTTATCCATCTAAACTGGCATTCTGGTAGAAGACTGTGTAATGAGGCAGTGTATTTCTTACCTCGAAACTATTGCTTCATATTAAAGAGGTGCCCATGGCACTCATTAGGTTTGACACTGTGTGTCGTGGCCCCTGGGCATGTCAGCACGTGATTACATCTGTCCTTGTTCGGGATGGCACATAATTACATGCTCAGTAGGGACAGTGATCCCTGAAAAGCTTCCACTCTCACTTGGAAATGCATCATGCGGGGTTTGGAGAACAGCTTTGCTGTGCCAACCGTGTTTTCTCCAGGGGGAAATACTCTTTTGAATTACATTATTACATGGATCAGAATTAAAGAGTCTGTCATGATCATGAAAAATAAATAAACTGACCTACCTTCCAACTCTTTGGAGTTAACTAGCATTGAAAATTTAATATCCGTATGATACCCTTGGAAGAAGTAGTTTTTTGGGGGGTAATGATTTCTGTGCTGCATAAATTGCTGTGTTTGCTGTGTATCATAACTGACTAATGGTGTTTCCCAAAGCTGAGGTAGGAAAATACACAGAGATAAGGCTTAAGAAACTTCTAATTAACTCAGGCAGGCTTTAGCTGTGCACAGAGATACCAGAGCATGATAAGGAGCTGTTCTGGTTCAGAACAGGCAGGTGTCCTGTACAGTTGACAAGGGCTGAAACTACTCTCATCTGCTCTCCACCCTGCTACGTTTAGAGGGTTTGTTTTCCAATCTTTTTAAAATTTACCTTCTTTCTGAACGGACCAGCCACCACTTACCAGAAATTTACCGCTTCTGCTGTGCTAGGTGTACAAGCCAATGGCAGAGTAACCACTCCTTGTTTCACCTTGACTTCATCATTTATTATTTCTGCACTCTGCCTTCCACTGGGCCAAATTCTTCTACGTCTTCTAGGCCTATGGGAATCAAACGTGACACCCTCTATCTAAACTGTCACATGAGACTGTTGGACTTCAAATGTAAGATGCTTACTGTTCTTCTTGTTGTCATTGCCTTCCAGAAAGGAGTGTGGGTCATAACTAGTCAAGGTGGGTTACACAACCAGTGATCAGACTGGAAATAATAAAAAGTCAAAGCTGTGGGGTGCACTAGGCCACTTAGAAAATGTGGCCTGCATGTACCTTGAGGTGAGCTTGCTAGCTTTAACTTAGCTCAAATACCAAATGAAACAATTCTTTTGAAACCCATGGTTCAGTCCAGGCTGGACGAACTCTTGTTACTTCATTTACATTCAAAGGCTGTGCTGTTATGGTTTAATTGCTTTTTAACATCCAAACTACCTAGAGTATTAGCTAGTTGATACGTATACAAACCATGCTGCAATTCTTGTGGCAGTACTGCACATTCTTCTGTCTCTATGAAATTTGGTCTTCAATATCATCCCAAAACTCCACTGATATGACCAAGGACTGGTGCTTTTGTTTAGGGCATTGTGGATGATTATTGTACAAAAGATGTGTGCTTTTGCATAAGTCTTTTCTTTCATTTTTCATTCATTCAGACTCCTCTCTGTTGCTTTCTGGAAACAGGACATGAAAATTTTACAGTTATCCTTGCTCCCAGACCATACTAGAGAGTTTCGAGGCTCTTAGCAGTTGGGCAATAGAGGCTTAAAAAAAAAAAAAAAAAAAAAAAAAAAGAAAGATTAAAAAAAGAGAAACCCCATTTTAGTATAAAATTTACTGGCTCAATCTATATACACTCCATGCTTACAGCACTGCCAGAGTTACTTATCGGTTAAGCACAAGAGCCTGGAACTAGCTTTGCAAGGGCACTCTAGCTGAGAAATGATGCATTGACAGAGCTCTATGGGGAACAAAGCTTCTAGAAATGCGGTGAAATAAATGAATTAATAATCCCTTGGCAGTACATCTATTCCTTTTTCTAACTTTGCCTAGTGTCAGTAATGCATAATAATTGTGTAATACAAATATTATTCAGTTCTAAAAATCTCATTAAGTAGGTAGATAAACACACCCATTTTGCAGAAGAGGAAATTAATCTCAGAGGAGCTGTGCAGCAGGAATTGGGTAATACAGCTAGACACCTGCAGGAGGAGAGCTGGAAGCTGCCTGTGTCATCTTGTTCACCTGCTAGAGCCACCACCAGTCTGCCTGCTCACTAGACTGCAGAGAAGCTGCTTGACTTCTCTCCCTGTTTGCCCATCTGTTAAATGGAGTGAGCACTTACATGCTTCTCAGGCGTGGTGTCAGTTGTATGACATCTCTGAATTACCCCGAAGTTCTGAAGAACAGGCATGCATATTTATAATGGATTTAATGTCTTAAGCTTCAGGGCATAAACTAACCTCTAATTAATAAGGTTCAACAGCAGCTTCCCGTGGGGTAGGGAATTTCTCAAAGAAGCTTTCTTGTGTTTTCCTTCGCAGCTTTTGCTGTTGGCTACCATCATGCTGGTAGTGGAGTGAATTAATATGTGGTCTGAGCCAGTAACTCTTATGTTCCTAGAAGACAGCAGTGAGTGCCAATGATTACACATCAATCTCTGTAAGCCGCACTCCCAGCAGATCCAGGCCAAATAAAAGAATTTGAATTAGAAGTGCAGTGCAGGAAAGAAATACTTGCCTTTGTGTTTGGCAAAAGGGTTACAGCTGTTAGCCATGCGTGGCACGAACTGCAGTGTTCTGGCCAACCCATGGTACAAAAAGCAGAGTGCAGGATTCCAGGTTGACCCTCTACTGCCTACCTCACCTTTGCCATGTGGCTGTGCAGACTGAGTACTCTCACCTTGAGTACTGTGTCCAGTTTTGGGCCCCCTACCATAAAAAAGACATAGAGGTGCTGGAGCAGGTCCAGAGAAGGGCGACAAAGATGGTGAGGGGTCTGGAGAATAAGTCTTATGAGGAGAGGCTGAGGGAGCTGGGGTTATTCAGCCTGGAGAAGAGGAGGCTGAGGGGAGACCTTATTGCTTTCTACAACTCCCTGAAAGGAGGGTGTAGAGAGATGGGGGTCGGTCTCTTTTCTCAAGTCCCAGGCGACAGGACAAGAGGAAATGGCCTCAAGTTGCGCCAGGGGAGGTTCAGGCTGGATATTAGGAAAAATTTTTTCACGGAAAGGGTTCTCAGGCATTGGAATGGGCTGCCCAGGGAGGTGGTTGAGGCCCCATCCCTGGAGGTGTTCAAAAGACGGGTTGATGTAGTGCTGGGAGGTATGGTTTAGTGATGATGCTCCTTGTTTGTTGTGTGGGTGTCTATTTGTGTCAGTCAGGTTGACGGTTGGACAAGATGATCTTTAAGGTCCCTTCCAACCTAGAAGATTCTGTGATTCTGTGATTCTGTGTCCATTTGTTGTCAGAGGGATGCCCCTTTTCCTTTCCCAGATGGCTTCCTCTGAAGCTGCTCTGCTGTGCATGCTCACGTGCACTTGGCTAGATTGCTGTCTGGCAGCAGTCAGTAGCTCTTGACAGCAATGTGATGTTTACCCATGGATTTCTCAAAACCAAGGAGATTCATGAGGCAAGTACAAGCCAGATGATGTTCTCTTTAATACCTCCTGTATCCACAGTCAGTCTTCTCTGGTTGACTTTTGTCTGGGAACCAGTCTCCTGGCCCTTCACTTACATCAGCACTGCCAGATTTAGGCTGACCTCAGAGGAGCAAGTGCAAGCACATGGTTCATTGCCCTTGCAATCTAGTTAAGATTTATTGTGCCCCACATTAGTGTTTGTCAGCCAGTGCTAAAGAGGTTTTATTTAACTTCGCAATAGATGCTGGCAAAGGTGATGTACCTGCAGCAGAAGTGGTGTAAATGGCATCCTACTAACGGTTATTTAGGGAAAATCTTCTGCAATGTTTACTGCTATTAACATATAGAGAACTATTTAAGTATTTTTTATTCATTATCAGATACCCTTTATGAATTCCCCTTCCCTTTAGGAACGTCAGCTGTGCTTCTCTTGGTTTGTGGTGGGGTTTTTTTTTGGTTTGGGGGGGTTGGGGTTTTTTTTTAGTTTTTTTTCTTTTATTTATCATGTTCTTTATGGCTCTACAGTCATCTAGCATCTCCACATTTTCCCCTTGTTTCTAAGCCCATAGGAATTCTTCCTTCCTTGTCAGATTTACATCGGCTCTAACTTGTTTTAGACAAAGCAAATCCTCAGATTTCGTGGCCGTAAGAGAGGATTGGTACAAACTTGGAAAGAGAGGGGAAATAATTTTGCAGCTGCCTGGAAGCGTCATTCTTAAAGCTCTAGGGAAAAAAAGCCATGCTGGGTAGCTTCCTCTGCAAAGGCTCTTCTAACTACAGTCAGTAGAGTCTCAGGTTCCCTAGGTAACCGGAATATTAATTATTATATTAGTATTCTTCAAAGGTTTTCCACTTAAAAGAAATGTTTCATTAGTGCAACAAATTACAGAGCCCAATTGGGTGCAAGCTGTAATTGTTTTTTACATCTCCACATTTCTTTGCTTTTAAGCTTGATTTATTCTCATTTGGGCTATACACCCATGGTAGCAAATAATCTGCAGGTTTTCCAAACACTTGCAACTCCTGTTTTTTGCTGGAAGGTAACAAATAGCCAGCCCTTAAAATGAGTCGGGGCGGGGGAGAAGGAGGGTGTGGAAAAAGACTGAGCAGATGCTGTGTGTCAGAGAAGCCTCTGGGCGTTGGGTTTTGGGCTGTCT